AGGGCTTGTCTTGTGACGCAGTTCGGTGCTGTCACAATATGTGTCCTATCCACCTCCAGAGCTTCTTGCTGGTTTCCTCCCCCACTAGAATCTGGCTTTTACCTTCCCAGAGTAGGTTGTTGCTGATGGTGTTTGCCCAACGGATCCGAAGTATTTTGCCCAGACAAGTGTCAATCATTACTTGTATCTTTTGGATGGTGGCTTTCGTAGTTCTTCAAGTTTCCACCCCATACAGTAGAACCGTCTTCACTTTTGTATTGAAAATTTTGGCTTTGATGTTGGTTGATAGTTGTTTTGAGTTCCAGATGTTGTTCAGTTGTAGAAATTCAGCCCTTGCTTTGCCTATCTGCGCCATCACATCTGCATCGGATCCAACTTGCTCGTCCATGATGCCGCCCAGACATGTGAAGGTGTTAACGTCCTCCAAGGCATCAAGAGAGATTTGGTTGGTGCATGTTGTGTTGTATCGCAGAATTTTGCTTTTTCCTTTATATATGTTGAGACTTGCTGATGCTGAGGCGGCTGCTACACTGGTCGTCTTCTCTTGCATTTGTTGCTGTGTGTCCGATAGAAGAGCCAGGTCATCTGCGAAGTCCAGATCGTCTAGCTGCGTCCTAACTGTCCATGGGTTACCGCGCTTCCCTCCAGATGTTGACGTCTTCATAATCCAGTCGATGACCAGGAGAAAGTGAAAGGGTGAGAGTAAGTAACCTTGCCTGACACCGGTCTTCACCTCGAACGAGTGTGTGAGTTGTCCTCCGTGCACGATTTCGCAGTTTAGTCCATCTTAAGAATTCCGTATGATGTTGACTATCTTACCAGGCACGTTGTAGTGTCACAGAAGCCTCCATAGTGTTGTCCTTTCCACGATATCAAATGCTTTCTCATAGTTGCAGTAGTTGCTACGTCAACTTTCATTGTACCAGCTGGGATGTTGTCTGGTCTCTCTGCTTTGTAGCCGTTGATTTGTCTTATGGCCATAATGATCTCTTCAATTGTTTAGTCACTATTTATATGTCAGTAATTTGAGATGGTAAATTAATACACTAGTTCTTAGTGCAGTCTAGAAAGGACATCAAAAACTTTGTGACTAATATATGCAAGTTAGAAAATACAATACCTTCCAAATCCTCATTTTGAGTTACACAAATTCACTATCCTCTCAAACTTTATTAACTTGACAGTGTAATATAGTCAAGCATATAATTTTTTTCACAAAATAGGTTTTAATTTAATACACAACAAATTAACACTAAAAAGTATTGATATCACTAATTAAAACGAAAACTGTTCCGTATAGTTAATCTTTAATTACTAACACTCTGTCACATTAAGAATTATGAGATAAAAATAACAAACAAATATAAATATATAAATATAAATAACATAAACAAATAATTTAGTTACATTAAACAGTTCGCCTTTTTATTAACTAAACCGGCTATTAAGGAGCATCTGTGATATTCTTCAGTGTAGTGAATAATGATCACATGACTATTTGAATCATATCAGTCAGTTTAAGTGATTAATTGCACAGCCACGTATTCAAACATTATTCATTTTTAAAATAATAATTGAATAAAAAGATTTCTGTTCATCATAATATTCAATCATAATAAGATAATTTGATTAGTGACTAAGATTATATATACCGTGTTGTACCAAACACACCTAGAGTTTAGGGATTGACAATACTTTATTTACCATAATTACAAGCAATTTACTCTAAGTGATATCTACAGTAGAAATTAACGGTAAGAAGGAATTTTTATATATATAGTGAATATTCAGAAAGCTGTCATTCAATTCCCATTGAGTGAACAAACATATTGTTATTCTCAGTAGCCATACATGGATTGTGTTATAACAATAGAATGGTATTCTCTTCTAAAGAATAAGCTTCCGTAGATATTTCTTCTTTTCTTCGTTCAAGCAGCTGGAAATAAATTTTCGGCGCATAAAAAAATGTTACATATTCACTTGTTTCTTGTTCACAGTTAAATGATGCTTGTAGGTTTTGTGAAGACAGATTTAATGGATCATATTCATCTGAGATTAACTTCAATCAGGGTACCATTGAAAATCAGCATTTTTATCCCACTGATATAGTATTCAGTATGATCGAGGATCCGGTTTGTGAAAACTGGGCTAAACGTCCAATGAAGTCATCCTTAAGCATTTATGATGAGGCCCGTTATAAGCAGCTCTGCAGAGTTCCATGATTTTTAACAATAGTTTAGGTGATGAAGTCGATCTGTGACTAGTGTCACCAAAAAGTTCATTGTTTTCTTCGAAATTATGAATCGATCACTGTTAGACCACCATTAGAAAACTGGAAACACTAGGCGGCTGTTTCATCCAACTTACGGAATCATCATCAGTGTGAATCCGTCACCTCCACACGCAAGAACTGAACCCAGGACCTTCGGTTTCGCACACGGATGCTCAAGCTCGAGACCACTGAGCCGGAATCCAACAATGTTAATATCTACAATAGATCGATCCGCGATATAACATAACCTCAACCATTGTCTTCAGTGGTTAAATGCTTCACATCTGATACGGTTGAACTTCACTGATTACGACCCAGTAGTTGAAAGATGAATCATTCTCACGCAAGACCTAAGGTTCTGGGTTCGATTTTCTCTTGCGTTGTCGTGGATGTGCACCTCTGATGAGGTTGAAAATGAAGAGGTTGATCAATACCTCAAGGTTATCAGTGATGGTCTAACACGGATCAATTCATTATTTTAATGAAACTCAACAACCTTCTCAACTCTATACTAAAAATTGATTATTGTTATTGAAGCGATGAGTATCTTTATGAAATAAACTTTACTTTATTCCTTAGTTTATACAACATTTTCAAAAATGTTTAATCGATTGTGAAGAATTAAAATTTATTCAGTTTATCAAATGGTCACAATATGAACAATTTGTAATTAAATGGAAAAAGTTTACAAATCAAATTGAATGGGCTAGAAAAAAATTTCAAAGATATAGAGAAGAATATTATCAGTCCTATAATAAAAAAGTTGAGGTAATTCTGGGAATATTTTGAAAGTAATGATATCAGTACAATATTTAGATATGTGAGGCTCATTTATTGTATATGTATGTAATGGAGCTTGACCTCGTTCAGGACTCTTGTCAGGCGTATGTATCCGCATCAAATACTGAAATTTAAACCGAGTACTTATTACTTCTTCCACTAAGGTGATGAAACCAATAAGTTATTAAATTATCTGACGAGTTCGAAGATTTTACGGAGGTTTATGTTTTAATTCTGTTAATGTTAAAAACTGAAGTTGGTCAGTCTCTACTAACAAGATGGTGTATAGTATGCAATGGACAGTCTCTCAGAAGTTGTTACCAAAGAAAGGAAAGTTAAAACACAGCACCAGATGTATATATATATATATATATATATATATATATATATATATATATATATATATATAAGTCATAAAAGTAAATTTTCAGATTAGAATTAAAATAGTTTTCAATCGAAAATATCAGCATAGTTTGAATTCACCCACTTTCACACTAACTGATAATAATTTTATGCATTTAGATGGAAGTAAACAAGATGACTTAACATGACTAGTGTTCGGATGAACTAACAACGTTGAGTTTATTTTTTGTTTAGGACGAATGGATGAGATACGCATTGTTGAGGTGATACTACAAACTGAAAAAGAAAATAACTATTCGGTATTTTTGTTATTTTCTAATTTCTTTTTTTTTCATTGATTCATAATTGAATGTTGTGCGTTGACTTCAGATAAAAACAACAATCAAATTTTGAAATAATAATAATAATACATAAGAGAATAATCTACTCATTAGAAAATAACTTGTAATGATTACATTTTTACTAACATTTCACTTGGCCATTTAATAAACTAAGACAGAAATCTTAATCAAATTTTTAATTCTCTACGCCAATTGTGATGATAAAGATTAATCTTTACAATAAACTCAATGAGTAAATATGTTTATAATTTTGTATTTTTTTTTGCATAATTTTACCCAATCCGTTCATTCATTGAGCGAGCAAGTTTGTTTTGTTCTTTTTCGGCGCTTTATCTTAGTGGGAAATGAGTCAAGTTGATGGAGATAAGAATTAATACATTTTTCAATATTGCTACTTAAATAATTTATAGCGTATCTTCTTGTAACACAACTTCACCATTTTGCGGGTTTGACACGATTACATACTTCTTTAATGATTAGAAAACTAATAATAATAATAATAATAATTTACTTTTGTTTTCAATAATAATTTCACATTAGGAAACTAAGAAACAAATTGAAGATTTCGTTCATTTTCTGACAACTGGTAAATACTCTGATATTAATAATGATGCACGAATTATATTGAACGAGATGAAAGAAGTAAGTGTTTAATGACAAGTGTAATTGTTCACACTGATAAATTGATTTACATTTTTACTGTGTGTGTTTATGTGTGTATTAATTGTTATGAAATTATGATCAACAAAGTTTCCCAGTGATCATCGCTTTAAACAACCATACAACAAAACAAGCTTAATTCATTTCTTATTAGATCATTTAGATTAATGATGATATTATAACTTGATTGATAAAATCAGGCCAGAACTAACAATCAGCCAATGCGCGAAACAACAAATCCAAATTTAGGACCTTTATTAAGTGAGTTCACAACAATCATGTATTGGTTGAAGTTAAAAATGAACACCACTGAATGCTGGGTCAGTAGTCCAGGACTGCAGTTCATGGATTCGGTTCTTATGTAAAGAGGGTCGCGGATGCACACTGCTTGTGGGTTCCAGTGTTTCGTGGTTGGCATTAGTCATTTGGTAATTTAAACAATGAAAATAATACAACCTCCATAAAACCTCCTTTTTGTTAAATATAACTGTGCATTTTTAGTACTAATAATGTAAGTGAATTTGTAACCATTCATAGTTTATCCTGTATATTCTCTTAATTCTTCATTATTTTCTGTGCATCAGTAAATTTTTATTGATTCATTTTGTGATTACTTCAACTTCACAGCCATACTGTTATTTGATCAAATTGGAAACTTTCATTCATCAATTGGTTGATCAACATAAAATTGTTCAAAATTGTGCACATAAAGAAAATCAATTTGAAAGGAGTAAAATGGAAAAACTGAATCTTTTGTCAACAAACAAAACATTAATGAAGACAATGAATACATTTGATAATAATGCTACCATGTCTATCCCGGAAAATTGTGATCAGCATCAAAACCCAACATGTCATTGTTTCAATGAAACTAATCCAGATTTATTACATGTTGATTATGAAATGAGAATAGTCAATTGTAGATTTGATGCATGGCAGTTGAATTTACAAATTGTTTCATTGCAACAAGAATTGTATGCATCAAAGTTGGGAAATGTAAGTTATTGAGAAATTTTGTTTTCTCCCCTTTCTTTCTTTATTTTTTGTTTGAGTTTTTTCATTCTCACGAAATTCTGTAAATGATTCAGTAAATTTATTTATGTAATTATTTGGACTGTTGGTGAGTGAGAAGTAAACGATGTCAAAAAGACATTTTTATTTTCAGCTTTATGTGGAACTGCTTTCTTTTTTACCATGAAATAATTCATGGTACCTGTAGAGTTTCAAGCTTAGAATTTTATATTTGAAATACTTGTCACTTCAATTCCAGATAAATGGCATGCATATTTGTTTCAATCAATACTATCTGATAAGTTGAACAGAGATGTTTTTAACATATGGAATTAAAATACAAATGTTTACGAAAGCATCAAAATGATTTGTTTAATACTGGTGAATTAAACTAGTTACAATGAGATTAAATATTTTCTAACATTTAGCGATGAATGAATTCACATAAGCGTTCTATCGAATCTTTTTGCATGTAAGTGATTACAGGCTATTTAACATTGAATTATTAGTTTAATTCAATAATTTATAAAGTGAAGAGTTTCGCAGTCAGAATATAAAATATGAATTAGCATTAAATATCAATGAAGGCATAATTTTTTTGATTGAATAGTGATGATATGTTGAATAGATTGAGTGCCGTAAAAAATCATCAGCATACAAATTCAATTATAGACTATTTTTTGGATATCATATATTGAATATATGTTATCTTTTTGTTTTGACCTGTTGTGTAGTGATTCATATTTATGATTCATATTTACGTTAGCTAAATATTAGGTTTCATCTTTGTGATGCTGATAGCTTTGCTCAGATTATTAGATTAACATATATATATGAAGCAGTCTTAGTGTTGCGTTATCTGATGGTCTTTTGTCAAACGTTTGTCACTGATGTCGATAGAAGATAAAATTGACTGACTATTTTAGTACAAGTAAAAAACATTTGCTATCGACAACAACCGACAGTAATAGTCATTACGAATCGAAACCAACTAAAGAAATCGAATATATAACTGACTGACTATAAGAATTCAAGTTCTACAGGTGATAGACACATCATGAGATTATGTTCACAGTTAATCTCTCAAATAATCACCATTATCTCAAAATACTACTAGTATAGTTTATTGAGTAGTAGATATTTTTCAATTTAAAAAAATGTTGAACTTATGTATCATCGTGTCTGGAGATCTGTTTCCAACAGCAGTCGGTGAGTTTGCTTTTTGAAGGTACAAATCTATTTGTTTTTCGGTTCATTTGACAATCAAGAGCTAATCAACAATAAGTTACCAACTCACTTAAGCTGGTTGTCCGACCACAAATCTCCAACCAAAACAGTCCTGAGTTATCCACCTCAGCTGCCACCAAGTGCTGCCTATGGTCTTCATGTATACTTCCTATTCCTTGTCGTATGTGTTCTTTGGTCTGCCTTGATGATTCCCAGTTAGTACTTCCCGTGTGATTCATTCTAATGGTTTACGTAAATCATGTTCAACCCTCTCTTTTATCGTTCTTTTCTAATTTCCTCTTCAACTGATTTTTGGTTTGTTCCCTTACACAGTAGGTTATTGCGGACTGCATACGGCCAAAGGATATGGAGTATCTTACGTAGATAACTATTTATAAATACCTGTATCTTTTGAATGACAGTTTCGATAATTCCCCAAGTTTCAGTATAGTATAATATTGCTCTTGCTTTACTCATCTGTGCCTTCACGTTTGCATTAGATCCTCCTTGTTGCTGTTGAGCTACGTATAAGCTTTCTCCGCTTCCAGAACTTTCCTATCAAGTGTGGTTTAGTTGGCACTTATTGTCAATAATAATAATAATAATAATAATAATAATAATAATAATAATAATAATAACCGAAAAACCACCACAACCACAATGAGATAAAGTTAAAATGAATTTTGAAAAAATTAAAATGTTATTTTGTGTTTCATGTTTTTGTATTTTGTTTTTTTTCTTTTTACAAATAGATTACATTAAATCTATTCAATGAGAAATATCAAAAACTTACTACCCTATGCAATAGTTTAAATCACAATGACAGAATTGTTCAATATAATATGAAATTGTTGAACAAAATGAATCAACTTATGAAAATCTTAAGTTACATGCTGGATACAAATTTATTGGTTAGTTATTTCATTTTTATTAAATCTTTGAAGAAATTTTAATGAAAAGAAAAATATAATTTAACTCCTGACGAGTGGATGTAGTTCTCAGTATGAAATTTGCGAAGATCAGTTCAAGTGACACACTGATATTACATGACAGATCAATTCATCCATGTGATTGGATGAAATCATGATTTATATCATGTATTAACTGAGTTTAGAAATTTGCACTAGGCTTTCCTACCAAAATAAAAGTTATGAACTTAATCCAATACAGAATTATTAGTACCCATTACTGAGTCGTTCAACAGTTGAATGGAACAGAGCAATGCTGGTGTTTCGTTCTCTGAGATAGAGGTTTTGTTTGTGAAGCTCTCATTGTCCTGCTGAATAACATCATCATCACAAACTTTAGATAGAATTGAAGTATTTGAATTTCTCCACAGATGATCCGTAGGTTGTTCTGTTAGCCTCGATCTTGATTGGTTGTTGTTGACCTTAAACCTGTCGTTGTTTGTACCTTTGTTTTGATTGTATCCCCCTTTTGATCTGTTTCTTGATCCCATGTCACCTATGAATTTTTTGATTGGTTGATAAATTGGATCAATGTCGATGTGTTTGTTGATTGCTGATTGACGTGAGTGCCAAGCTTCTTGAAATTCTCTATTGTTCTTTGTGCTCCCCCGATCCAGTATTTCCACATTGTCCCGATCAAATGTATGTCCGTAATTGTCCTTGTGTATTCGATACAAGCGAAGAATTTTCGTGGCGTTTGACTGCCAATTGGTGTTCACGTAAACGAAGCTGAAGAGGCCGTCCACTTTGTCCTATGTAGTGTTTTTCACAGTCTGAGCAATTTATTTTGTAGATGGTATTTGGTTTTTCTTCCTTTGTCATTTCGTCTTTTAGTCTACATAGGATTGATTGAAGTGATTCTGTTGGTTTGTGTACCATACCTATTCCAAATGGTTTCAGTAGTTGTGCTGTATGTTCCGATATGTCTTTTATGTATGGTAGGATGATCCGTCTAGTGGTTTCTGTAATTGATGACAAACTAATCAAGATTTCAAAACCACCAACAAAAGAAATCGCAAACATTTGTATGGTCGACATTTCGAAACAAAACCTAACGACAACAGAAGAACAACTTCTTCAAAAAGAATTAACTTATAATACACAACTTCAAAAAACATCAACTGAAATCGTCAACAGAAGCAAAATCAAGTACAGGAACCAATAAACAGATCATTCTACCGTACATATCGGATCAAGAAACAGATCAAATGAGGGATACAATCAAAACAAATGTGCAAACAATGACAGGTTTAAGGTCAACAACAACCAATCAAGATCGAGGTTAACAGAACAAGCTACGGGGTCATCTGTGGAGAAATTCGAATATTTCACTTCTATCTGAAGTTTGTGCTGATGATGTTGTTCAGAAGAACAATGAAAGCTTCACAACCAAAACCTCCAGCTCAGAGAACCAAACACATTCACAATCATCTACCTGAGTCAGAAATTTACTTCACCATCTGGGAACAGAGCAGTTCATAGAAAAATACTTTGTTTTTGAGTGCTTCACCACAAAATTTCTGCTTTCTGACTTGACATCTCATGAAAAATAGTATACTTAAATAATTGGTAAAGTATTGGTAACCTTGACTAGCTGCCTATGAAATACAATACACGAAATATGATGGTAAGTAGTGTATGTAAAGTTAAAAAAACAGATTCTTCTGTTTCCTTTGGGGCCTATGTGATCATACGTTTCATAGTGGATCACACTCTTTGACTACTAATTTATCTAGCTGGATTTCACGTTTAGGATTATTGACCTGCTAACCAATGACATGAAATCCTTCCTTCGACTGATAATTCAATGAGAGTAAGATAAATACTTAAAGCATTACTCAACACTGATTGGTCTAGGATACAGTTTCTTACGCTAGTTTTCTTAATAGTCGTAATAGAACAAGAACGCAACAGGCAAACGAAAGCTGACAACTTATAAGGTATAAAAGTACAACAATTCAAGTATCTAATAATTACATAATAAATTGATCAACACTAATCCGTTGTAATATAGTCACCCTGTAATTTCAGAAGTATAGTAAGATGATGCTAAAAATTGTTAAAAAAAACTACTTTTCGAAAATATTCTAGTAAACAAAGGCTTCTCTTCCACTATGCATTTGGTTATCACTAGACAGAATTTCTTATCTCTTAAGTTTCCTCAGTAAAACGAATAAAGATTTTGACAAAAACTGATGCATGCTATAAAAAAAATAGGGTTTTGATGTTTTCAATAAAAAAATTATGATTTTATGCTTCTGTTACATTCATCTAGAAGATAACAATAGGTAGTTTAAAGCAAGAAACAGAATAAAAATTCAATTATCTAATTTTAGTTCGCTTTAATATTTAGAGAATTCATTTCAGATATCAATTTAATATCTGATTACTTGTAAATCAAAAGCAACTGAATAATTGGTTTTGAGTTAAAGATAAATTCTAGATAAGTATTAACAAAGTTCTATAGATAAATTGCATTTTAGTAGATTGACAGTTATCAGCAGTTGGCGTTTATTGATATGAAAAAGAATGTTTTTAATTGCATTCTTGGTGTCCCAGCCATGGAGATTGATGAAGCCTGATTTGGAGACACCAGGTACTGTTACAATAAAGAAAATTTATTTCGAGGCACAGA